AGACTTAGGTCCTGTTTAAGTTATTGGCACACTATTGGTGCCAATAGTTTTGTTATCGATACTATTAAATTCGGTTATCGGATCCCACACTGTAATTTTCAGGGAGTTATAATAACTCCTCTAGTGGGGCTAATTTAACTCCTTACAGTGGAGCTATTTTTCGTGGAGTTATTTTAACTCCAAAAAGGAGTTTAAAGAACTCTTTTTCAGGAGTAAAAGTGACCACAGATTTTGAGGAGTTAAAATAACCCCAAAAAAGGAGTTATCCTGTACCTAAAATTTTTACTCCACTTTCAGAGTTAAATTAACTCCAAAAAGGGTGAAAACAACCCCTGTAAGGAGTACAAGTAACCCCATTTCGGAGTAATTTTAACTCCAAGACTGGGAGTAAAAAGAACTCTTTTTCAGGAGTAAAAATGACCCCAAATTCGGAGTTAAATTAGGAGTTAAAATAACCCCAAAAAAGGGGTTATCCTGTACCTAAAATTTTTACTCCATTTTTGGAGTTATAATAACTCCCTAAAAATTACGGTGCATTCATTAGCACACCTTGTCAGGCGCGTTTTTCTAACAATCAGTCAGCTCTTAATAATGCGTCTTTCGTGGAGTCGGCTATCGCTGAATTAGTCCACACTCACGCCGTCGTTGAGGTGCCCTTTATTCCACATGTCGTTAATCCGCTCTCTGTCTCGATACAGTCTTCAGGCAAGAAGAGGCTTATTCTGGACTTACGTCATGTCAATCATTTCGTTTGGAAACAGAAGTTTAGGTGTGAAGATTGGAGAGTTTTATTATCATATGTTAATAAGGGCGATTACCTTTTCATTTTCGATCTCAAGTCTGGATATCACCATATCGATATTTTTCCGGATCACCAAACTTTTCTGGGTTTCTCCTGGGTTTTTTCTGGTACCGTTCGGTATTTTTGTTTTGCATCACTTCCGTTCGGTCTAAGCTCAGCCCCATACGTCTTTACCAAGTGTCTCAGACCACTCGTTAAGTTTTGGAGGTCTAACGGGATTAAAATTGTTGTGTTCCTCGACGATGGGTGCGGAAAAGGGGATTCACTGCCTATGGCCAAGGAAAATTCATTGTTTGTGCAAACATCCTTAAGCAGTGCGGGGTTTGTTGCCAACTCCGCCAAATCACTATGGAACCCCACTCAGGTGCTTGTTTGGTTGGGTTTAAACTGGAACTTAGTTATCGGTACCATTTCTATTACCGATAGACGTATTTGCAAATTTATCGCTCTGATTGACAAATTTCTTTTATCCGCACCTTATGTTACGGCTCGGGATTGTGCCGTTATCGCAGGTCATGTTATGTCCATGTCGCCAGTTTTGGGTAACCTGACTCGTCTCAAAACCCGTTTCCTTTACAAGGTCATAGAATCCCGCCGTAGTTGGGATTCCCGTTTTAATATCGGGCTTCATAATGATTGCCTCTCTGAAATATTTTTCTGGAAAAACAATATCGTTAGTCTTAATACGAGACCTATTTTGCCTTATAATGCTCCCCTTTTGTTTAGCTATTCGGACGCCAGCAACGTCGCCTGCGGGGCTTTTGTTGTGGGCACTAATGAGGTGTCCCATCGTATGTGGACTGCTTGCGAAGCAGCTAAGAGCTCTACCTGGAGAGAACTTAAGGCTATACAATTTGTCTTAAGTGCGTTCAAAGCCTCGGTTCGGGTAAGTGTGTAAAGTGGCATTCTGACAGCCAAGGGGCCGTTCGTGTTGTGGAGACAGGGAGTCCTAGTGCAGAATTGCATTCTATTGCGCTTGATATTTTCTATTTTTGTCGAACTTACAATATTACACTTATTCCCCAGTGGGCTCCCATGGAACATAATGCTTGTGCTGATGCGATTAGCCACATTGTAGACTTCGATGACTGGTATACAACCCCCGAGTTCTTCGCACACTTGGACCGCCTTTGGGGCCCACATACAGTCGACAGGTTTGCGAATGCTGCCAACGCCCATCTTCCCAGATTCAATTCTAGGTTTCGCGTACCCGGCACTGAAGCTGTTGACGCATTTTCAATCTCGTGGAATGGAGAGAATAATTGGCTAGTCCCTCCCGTCCACTGCATTACTAGGGCTGTTCAGCATCTCCTTGTATGCGGTGCGGTTGGTACTTTAGTCGTCCCTTATTGGCCGTCTAATGTGTTTTGGCCTTTCTTGTTCGCAAATGCAATTCAATTTCAACCGTACGTCCTTGAGTACATTCATTTTCCCGACCCCTCAGGGATTTTTGCCCTCGGGTGTTACAAAGATTCACTCATTGGTTCAGACAGGTTTAACAGCGCGGTGCTGGCAGTCAGAATTGGCGCTAAGGGGCCTTAGTTTTTTCAAGCCGAGTGGCTTTATGTTGGCCCACGTGTTTTTTATTTCGCTCGTCGGTTCATTTGTCCTCGTTTCGCATGAAACTAGCTCGCCGAGTGGCTTGTTTACCGTGGTTTTTGAGTTGGCCCATTCGGCCTAAATAGTTTTGCATCCGGTCAGAGGTATTACCAAGCGTCAATTTTTTATTGCTGTATTGACTCCCAGTGCGTGTATTGAGGAATTTTGCCATATATTTTTGTTCTTATCCTCGTAGAAGTTCTCAAAGATGCCTTGCAGCCTAATTTTCAACAGGTTGAAGACGGGCGACTCCGGGCACTGGTTCAAGACCTCCCCGCAGTTCTTCTTAAATCCAAAGCCGACAGTACCGCGAGGAAGTACGAAAAGGGCTTCAATACGTGGAGAAAATGGGCTTCTCAGTTTAAAGAAATTGTTATATTTCCCGCTTCTAGTGTGCACGTTTCATTGTTCTTTCTTAGCTTGATTCAAGAATCTGCTTCTTGCAGTACTATTGACAAAGTCCATTATGGGCTCAAGTGGGTGCATGATTTGGCAGGTCTACCCGACCCCTGTAATTCCTCGTTAGTTTTACCTTTAATAGAATCTGCTAAGAGGCTTCTCAGTATCCCTGTCAAAAAGAAAGAGCCTGTGACCCCCGAGGCTATTCAGCTTTTATTTTCTAAGTATGGATCGTCTTCAGCCAGGGGCACCCAACGACCGTTTTCGGGGAAATATCTGTTCGGAGCCCTCTAGAATGGCTAAAATTTTCGGGAGCCCAAGAACAGCTAAAAATTTCGAAAATGTTTCGTGGTGACTGTTCCTTGGGCTCAGAGTTTCGGGATTTGTGTGGTTTGTTCACCTAAGAATTTCGGATTTTGTAGTAATCTCTAGATCACCTAGAAATTTCGTAGCTTTCGTAGTAATCTTTATATTCTGATTTCGGCGCCTAGAAATTTCGTAGCTTTCGTAAACTAAGAATAGAGCAAAATTTTTAAACCCGGCTGACAGTCTCATTAGCGAAAATTTCGACCGTTTTCTGAGGGTACCAGGCTTACGGGTTATGCGTACGCGAGCGCTATATCAGCGCGCGCATCGCGTGAGTAGCGCCTGTCAGTCCTGTGTATCGGTCGATGGACACTCAGGACAGTATCGTAGCAGGGCTACGGATGGAGGGATAACCCAGACAACGCTATTGTAGCACTGTTCTCGGCATCGCATGTATCTGATCTACCTAATTTTAATAAAGCCGCATTTCTGACATTTGCAGTTACAGTCAACTGTGTAGAAAATAGGCAACTTTCAGCGTTTCAGTGAAGTTTAGCCCGCGAAAACAGACGTTATTCCACCGTTTTTTTCTTTGCTCGCTCATCGCCACCTGGGGTGTGTGCTGGCAACTTTAAATTTTGGTAATGTGCAGGGTGATGAGTGGGTGATACAGACCCGTTATCTGCTAGCCTGCGTAGCAAGCGTTTCCAATCGAGTTACTGCGCGAAAGTTAGAGCGGGAGCAAAACAAGAAAAAGGTTGAGTTCCTTCATTCCCCTCCCCCTCCCCCGTCATTCCTTCTTTTTTTTGCTCTCGTCCCAACTTTCTCGACGAACTCGCGAGGAAGCGCTTGCTACGCAGGCTAGTTATCTGCGTTACATTCAGGCTTTCTGGGGCTGGATACTCAGCTGGCAGTTGTGCTGTTAGCCTGCGTAGCAGGCGCTTGGAAGTAGCGGGCGAAAGAGAGAACGCAGGCTATTGTGCTGTATATTCTGTATATTGACCCAGGCGAAGTCACGGGTCGGGTCACGGTCCTGCTGATTCCCTGAGCTGATTGTCGACTACAAAAAAACCACTCGGATGTCAAAATCCAGCTCACAAGAGTAATCAGCTTGTTAACAGCAGCTGGCAGTTAAGCGGCAGTTACCCTCGCCACCCAGACCTATACCACGAGTAGCCAATCAAAACACAGCCCCAAAGCACAACAATCGGGGTCAGAAATATCCTCACTTGTTAATCGAGTCTGTTATTTTTTGCAATGACGTTATCTGCATTTCGGTAAGAGTGGAATTTCCATTCATGGGTGGTCATGAGTCGTTTACACAGCTAGCAAATGTAGAGCTCTCTGACAGCTGAACGTAGGTAAATTTCTGAACGTATAAAATTTCTCTGATTTCGCAAATGATGCGCCCCATGTAAAAAATATAAAGGAGTCCGGATGCCGGGTAATTTTTGCCTATACGGAATCCGGAATACAGCAGACACTGGAATCCAATAAAGTCCAGCTACCTGGAATCCCCAGACTAGAATCCACAGGAGAATTCTTGGTTTCCCTCACCTGGGGCGAAATGATAGGAAACGGTCATGGAGAGGTGGTCACGTGATACTGTCGTGAGAGCCAAGCAATGATTCAAAACAGTATCATAATCGCCTACGAGTTCTGTTAATTGAGATGTATGGTCGAAGAAAGCAACACTTTCAGTGTGTCAAGAACAGAGTTTTGAGGTAAGGGAAATAATTCAGCTGACAAACCTTCTGATCTCTTGTAGTCACTCATCACTATTTTACAATTTACTGTTGGATCGACCGATTTAGTGATCGTTTCTATACAAGGTTTCTCTCGGTGGAGTTCGTAAGATATATAAGAGTAGTCCAACGAAAAGTATTTTGGTTCTTTTGTTGTTTTTTGTACTTCAGGGCTACTGAAAGCAGTATAAAACTCAACTGCTTGGGTTTCAATTTCATTTTATTTACTATGAGCTAAAATTATCTGTTATGAGAGGTTTGTAACGGTTCCGGGCGGAAAAGGCAAGGGAAGTTGTTCACCGTTGTATCGCCGCAGTTAAGTAACCAATATTTGTATGAGAGAAAGATTTCCATACTGCCTTAGAGTAAAACATCTCACAGACCCAAAGGCACTTGTACGATAAGCGGCTTCTGTAGTAGCCAACAAGTACTGAGTCAACGAGATATTATGCGTACATGAGGCTGCGTGGTAATCTTTCTTTAAATGTAAATTGTAACTCAGACCAAAGTTAAACATCCTTTACATCTTCAGCCTCCCACGCAGACGTTCTTAGGGGTTCGTCACGGAACGCGTGACGAACCCCTAAGAACGTCTGCGTGGGAGGCTATTATATCTTTTATTAATTTCAAATTGAATTAAACAGAATTTGGAGAAAAGCTTATTTACCATACCACCATTTTTTGTGACACAATATTGCATTAAATTCAGCAAAGTATATCTCATTATCCTTTACAACCAAGTCTTCAGTTTGTTTAGAACAAGTACAGTCCTACTTCAAGTTCCCCTGATGAATGGCATTTCATCCTTGAAGTAGTTAAGCAGACAAGATATGACAATTAAATTACATGTTCTAAAAAAAAATATGTTATTGAATTTTTTGAACGTAAAACAATTAAATTACTTGTTCTAAATTGAGTTAACTAAATATCAGTTATTGAATTTCTGTACGAAATGTCTTGTTGGCAAGAGTTCACCTCGGTTTTAATGAGCATTTCCGTGAATATCAATCTCATCTTTTGTCTATAGAAAATCTGCAAATTATCTGTTAAAAAAACTAACACATACAATCAAATGTCTATGTTGCAGAATTTTTAGAAAAGCATATTTACCATACCACCCTTTTTTTTGGACACAATACTGCATTAGTTTCATTCCTTTAGGACCAAGTTGTCGGTTTGTTTTGAAAAAGTACAATCCTACTTCACGTTCCCCTGATGAATAGTATTACATCCTTGAAGTAGTAAACAGACAAGATATGACCTTACATGAAAAAAAATATGCTTTTGAAGGTAAAACAATTAACTGTCTTGTTCTAAATTGCATTAAATAAATATCAGTTATTGAATTTCTGTACAAATGCATGTCTTGCAGGCAAGAGTTATCGAGCATTTCCGTGAATATCAATCTGATCTTTTTTCTATAGAAAATCTGCACATTATCTATTAGAAAAAACTAACACATACAATCAAATGTCTATGTTGCCATTTCTTAAAATTTTGTAGACTTGTCTAAAAATTCATTTCCTCTGTACCTTGTGGAGCCAAACATTGATGCAAAATAGTGGTTGTTAACAAGGTGATGGCATAAATGGGCATTCCATCTACAAAATCCAAGACTAAAATGCAAATTGACAGAATTGAGCATGGCAGGAAAAAAAACCCAAATGAGGTGACTATCTGACCCATATTAACATGCATTGGTGAGGATTTGGTCTCGGGACCACCAGAGAACAAATCCACGCCCTGTTCAGAATGGGTCTGGGCTGCCAAATATTGTCAATCTGCCAACAATTCCATCAAGTTAGTCATCAACCATACTTGGGCAATTTCCTTTTCTTTTTTTGGTCCCACAAGGAATAGAGACATTTAAAAAATATATGCATTACCAAACTGTTCTAAACTTATTAATACTTAATAATATCTAGTGACAAAAAAAGAAAGTTAAATGAAAGTTTTCTACATAAGTTTTTCTGATACAAATCAGAAAAAAAAATAACCTGTTGGGATGCATATAACATCAGTACAAAGTTATAGGACAAGTCACAAATTATTTTGAGAAAACCAGGAACTCTAAAGGAAATAGTTACATTCACCTTTTGAATGATGAGAGTCGACATGCAGTTTCAGTACATAACAGGAATCAAACCTGGAAAATCACTTTCAATGAATTATAGGAGGATTAGTTTTGACACCTTATAGTCTAAGGTTTACGAGCTCGTCTCTTGAATTAGTGCAGCACCTTGTGACTAGTTCTAGCAATCATCCTTGCAAGTTTAAGAAGTAATTTAACATTAAGTTTCATTTCAGCTTTAAGACTTGTTGTGCAGTTCACAAGTTCAACCAACAATTTATTTTATTATGTCATCCAGGCTTTTGTCATGGCTAATTAATGGCTTGATATTCACATGGGGTTGTTTCTGTTGACCTTTCTCTCTTGAACGCATCACTGCTTGCACTACAAACAATGGAAGTTTGCTGCCACTCCCTCTCTGTGTTGTCTTACCATCTTTAGTGTTCACAAGCTTCAAGACATCCGAGGCTGACAAGGTCATTGTTAACCTTCTACAAGACATAACTGTTACACTTGAAACAAAAATCACCATTATTATTCATTGATTCTAAATTCTTGAGCTGCATATGGCATTTACAAACTTGATGCTCATGGTGGATTTATGGGGAAGTTGTAACTTTAGGATTTCTTTCCTTTGACTGTTGGTATGAAAGGTGTTGAAGTAAAAACTGTATGTTTGTACGCAATTGCCTGGATTGCAAAAAATAACCAGGAAACTGAAGTTCAATTTGCCTTCTCAACATCTCAGTGTTTGTATGTTGCTAGGGTTGGAATTTCAAGGTGGTGTCACTCACAAATATAAATTTTCTCTCACCGTTTCTTGACAGATCAAAGACATTCAAGCATATAACAATATTATCATGATATCAGCTGGGATCAGTGCAAAAATTTAAGAGTATAAATGTGCAAGAAATGCCTCAAACGTTTGTTCTGTAAAGTCAAAATGAGCCACAGTGGAGGATTGAAATTGCTGACTTTGTAAAATGCATCACGCGGCCTCAAATTGGGTGTTTCTCACTTGAGAGATAATTGGTTTATAAACCTGTAAAAAATAGGCACCTGTCTCTCAAGTCGAGAACTGGAAT